TTTCTATGTAAACTGGCCTCTCATAATATGATTACTTGGATTTACACAGTTCTGATGAAACTTTTATAAAACTAAAAAGCAAGTTGCACTTACTTCAATGTGTTGTTTCACACGGTTTAATTCAACCCAGACACTTCTTATTTGGACTGTTTAATCCTGTTGCCAGTTTCTTATCTAACAGTAGACAACATTGTGGAAAAATCCATTGAACCACCCAAGTCAGCATCCTATTTTTTTAAAAAGCTGAAGAAAGTTGATGAAAGCTAGGTACATCAATTATTTTTTGCAAAATTTGGAATAATGAGTTTCAGTGTCCTGTCCTGGTCAAACAATGGATGGTTGCTTGAAGAACGTGATCTTAATTTTTTTAAAATCCTAAATGAAGTTAATGTGCTTTGCATATTTCATGTCTCAGCGAATATTGAATAAGGTTTAGTTGCAATTGCCTTCCTGATGGAGACACAATTCAGGAAGTTGAATATTAATTCATATGGTTTGGATTTGCCTTATTAATGCTACCTTTTGGGCTGGATTTGAAATCAACAGGATAATTAATATGGATTTAATCTGTTGTATATTAGAGATACATGTATTCCTCTTGGCTATATTCCTTTTCACACTTTCTAAAATATATCAGCTCATCAAGAATTGTAGACATTTTCATCATGGGAGCTGCCAAAAGAATTATTGTATGACACTGAATGGAAAAATCCTCACCTGATCTTGGCGGGGATTGTTGATATGTGTTGTTTGCAAACATTTGAATTAGGATTTTTTTTTTCATGAAAAGTGCAAGGAACAGGACATTCAAGCAATTTGGTCATGCAGAACACATGGCTGTTCTGTTTTTAGGAAAACAGAAATATTAAATAAAATACATTTTAATACTTTATTTTCCTTTGCATGTAATATATTTTAATAAGCATCACTTGTTGACAGCACTGGTTCTTCTGCAGTAATATTCTAATTCGCATTAGGCTCCTTTAAAAAGAATTTCAGCCTCAGCTGTTTATTCATTTCAGAAGAAAGGATAAATCATGACACGCCGCTTGGGTATATGAACACCAAGCAACTGACAGCAACACTGCTGCATTCGGACACTGCCTGGATGACTCCTGCTATTGCGATATGTAGAAACAAGGCTAAGTTTCAGTGTTTCTGTTACCACTGTCAAATGGTTATTTGGTGTAAAACATCTATATTTTTTTTTACAGATGTTGGGCACCTTGAAGCTAAATGAGATCTGGGCTGCAAACATCTAGAAGCCCGCTAGGTGGGAGCAGAGTAACATGGTTTATAAACTTTGCTGCTATCTGCTGGTCCTGTTGGTTTTGGCAGCCCAGATCTGATGGGGGGGTGGGGGGTGGGGGGGGAATAGAATGTCCTGATTGTCATATGCTGTAGTGTGATTTTATTGTCAGAATGCTTAATGTGCAGCAGCTGCAAGGCTAATGGCTAAAAAAAAAAAACAATTTAGCATTTTGATAGCATGTTTCAATGCCCGAAGCATTCTCTATAGAAGAGTCTTCTGGAATAACTTGATGCTTGCATTGCAGGGAACGATTAGGTTCATAAAGCCAATTATTCAGTAATCTATTGTTAAATAAACCAGCTTGAGTTTAAACATCATACTAAGCCTTATTTAGGGAATCATAATTTGCTAGGTGTGTAATCCCATGAAGCTATACATCATGGCTTACGAACTATCTCAAAGGCAAAGAAACCACATTATGCTGACTGTATAAGGTTATCACATAATGAGGAAAAAATAGCCACTTCTAAGAAGGTGTATTACAGTAATTACTACTAAGGGGTGGGGTGGGGGGAGCTCCACTGCGCTGGTGGTCTCCGGCGTAGACCCCTTGTCTGGGCTGCAAACTCCGGGGCAGGCAACCCCGGGTGATAGCAGAGAGACTCTGAGAATTCAGCGCCATCTAGTGATCCTCTAGATTTTTGCAGCGCAGATAGGACAGCCTCGTTACAGTATTCGGTAGGCGGATGTTTTAATTTCCGTCCCTGCGCTCAACAGGGGAAGGGTTGGGATTCAAAACCCTAAATGGCCCTGTACCACTCCCTGATTCTCCTTTTAAAGCAATACTCCTTTTGTAGAAGTATATGCCGGAATAAAAGAGTTACTCTTTCGGTGGCTGCAAGGCCACGCTGTCTTCCTTTGCTGTGGGAAAAACAGCAATCGTCTGGAAACCCTTACAAGAGGCTCGGGGCACACGCTGAACTGCACCGTGATCCCTTTGATATCGGTTAGCGTGTTGCGTCAACCCATCCACCGTGGCTTCTACACCACGATTTAGGGTTTAGCATCGGGCATCTCCAGCCGCGGTTCAGCGTAACGGTGGCTTAAATTGAGCCACGCGCCATGAGAGGAACAGATGACTCCTAACCGGCTCTCCAATCGAGGCACCCTTAGAGCGGTCCGCCCCCGCCCCCCCCGGGACTTCTCAAGTATATTGGGCTTCGGTCCTGGGAATCCGCCGGCATTCTGGGAGTTGTAGTCCAGTGCGCCCGGCGGCTCGCCGGCTGGGGAAGCCCGCGCGGGCAAAAGGCGAGACGGGCGCGCCTGGAAGATTCATGCGCTCTGGGAGAGACGTGGCAGGGTAGTTTCCCCGAGTCTCCTCCCCTCTAGCTTGGCTCTGCGGTCACTTCCTGCAGCTGTTTGCATCTGTGTCCGGTTGTGCTGCCTCCCTCCCCAGCCCCAGGCTCACCTCGGCTGAACGGTAAGCGGGCTGAGCGCTCCCTCTAAGCTAAGCCTGCAGCGGAGCGCGCCGCAGCTGGCGGTCTGCGTCTTGGAGGCGATTGACGCCCCTCGTTTCTTCCAGCTCGTAGGGAGCCGGTAGGTCCGTGCCTCCTTCCTTCCCTCCCTCCCTCCCTGCCAGGGGTTTGGAATGGGAGAGCCGCGAGCCGGCATCTGGCGTTTGGGGGCGCGGGGCGAGGAAGCCCCGCTGGATCCCGTGGGATTTCCTGGCGAGGAAGCGGAGGCTCCGGCTTTGCGCCTCTGCTGCTGCTGTTGCTGCTGCGCTTGGCTTGGGGTAAAGTCTTTGGGGTCGCTGCAAGGCGCTGCACATCTGTATCCAGAGGTGGGTGTGCGGAGAGTGAGAGACAAGGCGAGGGAGGAAGGAAACTCATGATGATGATAGCAGGAATCCCTTGCAGTTCGCGATTCAGTGTATGGTGAGACCCCAGAACATTGGGTCAACTGAGAAAATCAGGCTTCACCCTCAGCCACACAAGGAGGTTCTCTAAGCTTCATCCTCCGATCTCTTCTCTTTTGGAGGAAATAGAAGCTTTGCAAGTAGTAAACATCTCATTGGTTGGTGTGAATTTTCTGCACGGGGAATAGATTGCCTGTGTTTTAATATGTGCTCCGAGAGTGGTGTTCTTTCCATTTCATGAACCAGGAATCAAGCACTCGAGGTCAACGTTCGCTCCTAGAGGTTGGTGGGCCAAACAAGTTGGCCTAGCCTTCAGCATGACAGTCTAGCCCAGGGTTTCTCGACCTCAGCAACTTTAAGATGTGTGGACTTCAACTCCCAGAATTCCCCATGCTGGCTGGGGA